ACACTGAAAACCTGGCTATTTGATCTGGTATTTACCATAATATTTCTAAATACTATATTTACACCACGATGTCTTATTATTTTCATTTTATATCCCATCCATAGACAATGAGAACTTACACTTACACCCACATGTGTCTTGCCAGCCTTCCCAAACCTGGAGTTCACAGTATTATGAAACAATCTTCCTTCAAACTCGAGCCTTGTAGTAACATTACACTACGCTTACTTTCCTATCTTGCACAATCATTTCTTTACTCACAATGAAGGGCTGTATCACTATTCTTTCACTTAGTTTATCATAATCCTGGGACTAAATCATTCCTAGGCTCTCTGACAGGTCTAAGAAAACCTCCTCAATACATTTACAAAAACATGAGATATTTTATTCACTTCACTTTTTGCTGATGACATCTTTCACGAAACCCTCTGTTCTGTCCCAATGGCACTGGTGGTTTCCAGGCCCAAGAGTACAGAGTTCACCGTGGGATTTGCTTAGGCCCTTACTTTTTGGATTCCTTTTTTGCTGGATCCCATACCTGATTGTTTCTGCATGTACTCCCCATGTTAGAATTCCATGTATGTCAGAAGGAATTTTTCTTCACACTGCATCTGTAAAAATGTCTCTACTGCACAACAATATGTGATTGAAGGTTGGGTGGGCTGTGAAGGTAACTCTGGGTTGAAAATTATTTGTCTTAGACTACATCTACTCACTGCTGCTGTTGAGAAACCCGTTGAGATCAGTCTCCACTTGATCTTCCTTATGCAGATTTTATGATCTTCTCTAAATTTCAAGTGTTCTGAAATTTCAGACAACATCCCTTAGTACAACTCTTTTTCGTTGACTTTGATGAGTACTTACTTATAGTCCTTCCAAATAGGAACACTGTGTCCTACACTTGTGGTAAATTTTGCTGTATTACTTCTTTTTTAGCATTCCTCGCCATCATTTTGATTTGTTTTCCTTTCTAGAAGTCCACATTTTCATATCAAGACTAAAACTCTAATTCTCTTGTGTTTTCTTCCTTTTTTTAAAAATCTGATCTCTTTTTGTTTTTCTTTCTGGGCTGTATTCTTTGATGGTCTTTCCACATTTTATTTTGGTTTTTATCATGTTTTCAATTTACAAAAGTTCTTTCCTATTCTCAGGAATTTCCCTCCGTCATAATATCCCAATCTTGTTATAATATCTTCCTTTTTCTGGTCAGATGACACAAATTATGATATACTCTTCCTTTGCTCCCAGGAATCTCTCTGACCTGAGTTTGTTTACTCAGTTTATTCTCTTATTTTTATATTCCAAGTTTCCCTTGAATCTGTAATGATACTCGAGTCCATGCATAATTAAAACAATGAGATAATTATTGGACATTTTGCATTCATGGACAGAGATTATTAACTGAAAGATTCCGGGAATCCAGCAGGAACCTATATTTCAATCAATAGACCTCAAATATAGGTTATATTAATAAATAACAAGGGTCAACGCTGTGGCACAGTGGTAAAGCCACTGCCTGTGGTGCTGGCATCCCATTTCTGGGCCAGTTCAAGCCCCTGCCACTCCACTTCCTATCCAGTTTCCTGCTAATGAGCTTTGGAAAGGAATGGAACCAAGATGAAACTCTTGGCTCCTGATTCAGACTGGCCCAGCTCCAGCCACTGCAGCCATTTGGGGAGCAAACCAGCAGACAGAAGATCCATCTCTCTCTCTCTCTCTCTCTCAACTCTGCCTTTCAAAGACATAGATTTTTTTTTTTTTTTTTTTTTTTTTTTTTTTTGACAGGCAGTGTGGACAGAGAGAAAGGTCTTCCTTTGCCGTTGGCTCACCCTCCAATGGCCAACGCAGCCGGCGTGCTGCAGCCGGCACACCGCGCTGATCCAATGGCAGGAGACAGGTACTTCTCCTGGTCTCCCATGGGGTGCAGGGCCCAAGCACTTGGGCCATCCTCCACTGCACTCCCTGGCCACAGCAGAGAGCTGGCCTGGAAGAGGGGCAACAGGGACAGAATCCGGCGCCCCAACCGGGACTAGAACCCGGTGTGCTGGCGCCGCAAGGCAGAGGATTAGCCTAGTGAGCCGCGGCGCCGGCTGACATAGCTCAATCTTAAAAAAACACTCTAACAAACAGATTTTAAGAGATACTGGTAGAGACAAAAATAGACACATCCCCATCCTGCCAGCTTGAAACTCATGGTGGGGGTAATTCCCTTGCCTGCCTTATCTAAAAGCTGGGGTCCAAGCCATGTAGATATTATAAAATGGACAATATAGGGGCACCGGTTCAAGCACCGGCTGCTCTACTTCCGATCCAGCTCTCTGCTATGGCTTGGGAAAGCAGAGGAAGATGGCTCAAGTCCTTGCACCCTGCATCTGTGTAGGAGACCCAGAAGAATCTCCTGGCTCCTGGCTTCAGATTGGCACAGCTCCAGCCATTAACGGCCATCTGGGGAGTGAACCAGCAGATGGAAGACCTCTCACTCACTCTCGCTCTCTCTGCCTCTGCTTCTCTGAAACTCTGCCTTTCAAATAAATAAATAAATCTTTTTTTTTTAAATGGAACAATATAGTAGCAGAATCTGCCACTTCTGTGGATATGGTTTAGAAATCAGCAGATCTATCTTTGACATAATTAGAGGCCTGGGCTCCAAGCTTTGTGGTTGGGTAGTACTGTCCATCCTACTGGGCCACACACAGTTTCAAAAAGAAGCCCTGTCCATTTCTAAGCAGATAACCTGCAGAAGATCAGCCTTGAATAAGTTAATCTCACTCTTCTAGCATATCAGAAACCATGGTATGAGAGTATCCACAAACTTAAAAAAAAAAAAAATAAGGGCCAGAAGAGAACAGGGAGAATTAGAATATCTGAGAAAAAATGGTCAAAAATATTCCAAAAGTGATAAAAGATTTGAGTCTTCAGATTAAAAGATCTGAGTCTTCAGATTAAAGATGTTCCCTGCATCCCAAGCTACACACACACGCACACACACAAAATCAAGTCTATGTCTAGAGATTTCATAGAAAAAAACTGTAGCATCCCAAGGAAAAAAACGAAACCTTAACAGTGACCAGAGAGAAAATAGACAACTAAGAAAGGAATCACATCAGGCCAACAGTAGACTTCTGTGATAGTCTCCAGGGATGTACTCCAAAATTCCCTGTAAGCACATGCTAGAAGAAACCCTAGTCATACAGAGTAGCCATCTGGGTAAGAATTGAAGGACAACAAGTTACAGACCTATGTGAAATTCTAACCATGGTCAGCATCAAATGCCAGCTACATGTGTGCCATCTTTGATGTTCTACCCAGATTGAGTCTGTAGATATTTGCCGCCCCAGGTAACATCAAAAGGGAAAATTAGGTATAGGTATCTGACACAGTGGCTAAGATAATTCACATCCCATACTGGATACCTGGATTAGATCCCTGGCTCTGGCTCCTGATTCCATCGTCCTGTTAATGTAGATCCTGGGAGACAACAGCTGATGGGTCAAGTGGTTGAGTCCTTGCCACCAAAGTGGGAAACCTGGATTGAGTTTCTTACTCCTGGCTCCAGCCCCACTGTGGGCATCTGAGGAGTGAAACAACAGAAAGGACCTTCCCCTACCCTCTTTCCATTTTTCTCTCCATCCTCTCTCTCTCTGCCTCTCAAATTTTTAATTCAAAAAAAAAAAAAAAAAAAAAAAAAAAAAAAAAAAAAAAGAGAAATCAGGCACAGCAGTTTAACACCCTGGCCTGAAGCACCAGCATCCCATACTGGGACCAGTTTGAGACCTGGCGCTCCACTTCCCATCCAGCTCTCTGCTATGGCCTGGAATAGCAGAAGATGGCCCAAGTCCTTGGGCCCCTGCACTTGTGTGGGAGACCCAGAAGCTCCTGGCTCCTGGCTCCTGGCTCCTGGCTTCGGATTGCCACAGCTCCAGCCATTGCGGCCAATTGGGGAGTGAACCAGCAGATGGAAGACCTCCTCTTTCTCTCCTCTGTGTAACTCTTTCAATTAAATAAAGGGGGGGGGGCAATCATCCAACTGACAGTTTCTTGGTAACCTGCAAGATCATGAGATAATAAAATGACTGATATTTTAAATCACTAAGTTTTAAGATGGTTTTAAGTATTTATAGATAATGAAAGCATTCTCAGTAGAAACAGCAGATTTCTTTCTGGAGTAAGACCAAAATATTACAAACACTGAAAGTTCACCACTTACATACTCTCACAGAAATACATACAACATATTGACAAAAGAAATAACTGTAGGAAGTTAAATTTTTAAGTATTTGGGGAAACCTAAGTAAGCATTGACATGGTTAAAAATAAAAAAGTGCAACATTAAATGTATCTAACCCAGTCAAGTAGCTACTGTAATTTATTTGTAGTTTTATGTGTTGAACATGTACTTGAGATAACAGTAGGATACAGAAAATGCCCTAAAGAATAGCAAACATATACAAGTGCAAAGCATCTTTAAGATCTTATACTACCCATTTATCAATTCTTCTCCTTGCCTTCCCCACCACCCCTCACACAGGGTTCCCCCATCCCTCCACACCTGAGAAGGTCTCAACCTTAGCCACCGAGGGAGAGATGAGATATTTTTAAGAGAAAAATTGAAGGCAGGCAAGAGGACTCTCTCCTAGCATACACAGTTGAGTATTTATTGTCTGTTTCTTTTACTTTGACCTTTTATCAGCTTTATCATCATCAGAAGTCATGCCACTATAATGCAGTGGGAATGGTAATTTCTAACACTAAAGACCAGGTTATAACCAAAAAACATCTTAAGACCTAAATAAGGGATTCCTCACAACCAGATAATTTTCTCCTCCATCTCATTCGAAAACTATAGAATTTTCAGTGCATTTACTTAAAAATTTCAGAGTCCCAAATGTAAAGAACAGAAAGAGTAGAAAGTTCAGAACTTCAATTTCCAGTTAACATAGAACTCAGTAATATTAGAAAGTGGTTAATCATTTTAAAGAAAACTGTTAAGCATTACTTACTTTAACAGCAAATTTCTTAGATGCCATGGCTTACTGATTCCAGAGTAACTATATACCTTTAAGAAAAGAAAAAAGAAAGCTATAATTAGGCACATCAAAATCTTTTTAGGTAGATATTATTAGGTCATCAGAACAATACCAATTATTATTTTTGAGATGAAAGTTCACTTTTAATTGCTCTTAACCAAATACTATCTTGAATTAACACTTGAAAACTTCCCTCAAAGAAAAGCACAAGCCCAGATGCCCTTCCTGGTATATTATCAGATGATTAAGGGATTAATAACAATCCTCACAAACTATTTAGAAGCAGAAGAAAAATCTCTCAAATCATCCTAAGAGATCAGTATTATCTTGATACAGATACTAGGCAGAGGTAGCAAAAGAAAACTACATGGCATTACTCCTTATGAAGAACACAAAAATCCTCAACATACAAAAGGACTATATACCATGACCAAGTTAAAGTCATACCAGGAATGCAAGGGTGGTTTAACATCTGAAAATTATCAATATATCATGTTTATAATAAAGCACACATGATAATCTCAAATACAAAAAAGAAAAAAATTGTATCCCACATTAAAAAAAAATCCAACACAACAGAAATAGAAGGGAATCTCTCTAAACCTGATACGAAAAGTTCACAACCAAATCATACCCAATGGTGAAAGACAATGTTTTCTCCTCAAACATGAAGACAAGAGCGTCTGCTCTGCTATTTCTATTCAACTTGTGATTAGCAGCTATGGTAATGTACAGCCCAGTTTTAGGGTATTTTTATTTAATAAGGAAAACACATATTTCTGTGTCCTGAATTTCTTCAGTAATAGGGTTTTTTGGCTTAGCAGTCAAGAAGTCACTTAAGACATCAGTGCCTCACGATCAGGGTAGCTGTGTTTTGACATCTGGATCTGGCTCCTGACTCAAGTGTTTTGCTGATGCAAACCCTGGGAGGCAGCAGTGAGGGCTAGCTGGGTTCCTGTCACCCACAAGGAAAATCTGGATTGATTTCCCCGCTGCCAGCTTTGCTCACAAGTTCAACCTGGGCCCAACCCCTGCTGTTTTAGGCATTTGGTAAGTGGACCAGAAGAAAGGGGCCATCTGTCACTGTCTGTGTATCTGTCTCTATCTGCCCCATAAATTAATTAAAATAGAAATACGTAACTCAAAATTACTGAAGAGACTAAAGACACATAAAACACCCAATATAATTATTTCTAAACACTAGCCTTCAATGCACATAATTCCCAATACTTGGTAAATGGGTGATTGTTTTTTTAAATATAACAATTTTTATAGTTTTTTAAATAATCTGATAAGATTCTATTCTAATTTTTAAAATGGAAAAAATCTTTATTAAGTCTTTTTAATTGTTCATTTCCATTCTCTGAACAATATAATTCATACAATTTAGAAAATGTTTAACATCAATCTTGGCAAGCTCTTTTAGACATAGGTATACATGGGAAAAAAAAATGTACTTGGAGAGGTGCACCAGCAGTAAAGTCAGCGCATAGGAGGTCTGTATCCCACCATCAGAATGCCTCATTCAAGTTACAGCTTCCTGCTGATGCATGCCATAGGAGGTCGCAGGTGATGGCTCAGCCCTGGCTGTTGTAGGCATTGGGGGAATGAATAAAAGAATGAAAGATCTCTGTTTATCTCTGTTTGTCTCTGTCTCTCCCTACCTTTAAAACTAAAGTGCAAATAAGTTTGTTAAAAAAAAATAGCTCCTAGAAAAATCAGGATATGTATATGAAAATATTTATAGTTTGTCCTGAAAAACCTTACTTAGATCACTAAAATTATATTGCTTATGTTTTATATTTTAAAATCAGCCTCCTTAAATATATTTAATCAGAGTTGAGTGACTTTACTAAGGGTTTAAGGAGTCCCCCAGTGGGGATACTTAAAGGGTACTTAAGTGGATCTGCTAGAAAGAGAAGGAGAAGACTTTGTCAGCAAGTACCCAACCTAAGGTGAAGCACGTGTGAACTCATTTTGCTAAATATGTACTGGTTTCACTGCATAGCCTTCCTTTACTCAAGGACAGGCTGACCACACAGAAGTCCAGTGCAAGGTTTTCACACTATATCTGCCCTTGGATAGATTATAAGCCATATTACAGTGAAGGTTACATTTTTAACACACAATAAAGTGTGTGTGAGTGTGTGTGTGTATGTGTGTATGTGTGTGTGTTGATTGGTTTCCTACTTTCATCAGTAAAGCAAGAATGGCTACATTTGCTTTATAATGTCTGGATTTTTCAGAGTATCATCAAAATCCAATCTCAAAAATACAATTTGTAAGAATACAGAACAGAAGGGCATCTGTTTTTATATAAAATGATATGGTCTGTTAAAGTAAATAAGCTATAAGGGAAAAAGGAAATGTATACTTCAAATATTTTAGTCTGTTTTTAACAACATGAGGCACTCTGCCTCAATGTTTATAATTTGTGCACTTGTTTCTATAATATTTACAGACTCAAAAATTCACAATTGTAGAGCTAAAAGAATCTTGCAGACCATCTACTCTCTTCCCAATTTCCCTAACAAGATCTTATGGGACCAAGCCAGGGTCTCACAGTTGACAGCTCAGCCAAAGACTTGCATATTTCTTGTCAGACCCACTGAGGACAAACTAGCACCATCTGTCCCCAAAGAACTGCCAAGATCGATGGCTAACTGGACCATCACAGCCTTAGACACCTCCCCTTGTCAAGTCCCCAACCAGAAGTGTGACTTCAAATAAAGCTGCATGAGTAGTGGTTCTCTGCTGCTACTCAAAGACAGAAAGAAACCCTCTATAAAGAAAATGTAGTTTGAGTTAATTTATGATTATGCTATGGAATATGGCACACTGCATATATAGAATAAAAGCAAATGAATTTCACCAAGATAAAGCTTATAACATATCTGTATAGTCAGTTGCATAGATCTTGCACTTGCATTCTTGCTAAGTCATTTCAGGTTTTTAAAAAATCACCTTTCCTTTGGTTCACTGCAGCCTAAGTCACAGGTGCTGGGAGTGAGTTAAATAGTGTACCAAATTCCAAAACTAACAAAACCACTTTGCTAAGCCCCAACCACAGGGAAGTCACACACTTGCCCAGGGTAGAAGGAGTACGTGCGCATAGGTGAGCAGCTCTCAGAGCAGCACCTAACACTAGAGGGTGCTCAAGAAATGTCTGCTGGATGAAATGTTTTAGATAATTGCAGCTGAGTCACTGACACACACACCATCTCTCTAGTTTGCTATTTTTAGGGAAATTTTCCAAAAAATGGAATGCTTACCAGTATTCACAAAAATACCATAGACTGAATATTTCTTTGGCATTCCAGATCAAAACTGCCATGCCTTCATACACTGCACAATGTCCCTCTGATCTGCTGGCTCCTACATGGAGCTTCTCCACCTCAGACCTCTGGAATCTTTAGTCTGCTCCTGCAGACTTTCTATGTGCAGTCAGTGCCTGTCTCCTCTAGCTTCCTTTCTTCTCGCCATTCTTAAACTTAATCAGATGGACCTAAAAAAACTCATGGTTTTTTTTTTTTTTTTTTTTTTGACAGGCAGAGTGGACAGTGAGAGAGAGAGAGACAGAGAGAAAGGTCTTCCTTTTGCCGTTGGTTCACCCTCCAATGGCCGCCGCGGCCGGCGCGCTGCGGCCGGAGCACCGCGCTGATCCGATGGCAGGAGCCAGGAGCCAGGTGCTTTTCCTGGTCTCCCATGGGGTGCAGGGCCCAAGCACCTGGGCCATCCTCCACTGTACTCCCTGGCCACAGCAGAGGGCTGGCCTGGAAGAGGGGCAACCGGGACAGAATCCGGCGCCCCAACCGGGACTAGAACCCGGTGTGCCGGCGCCGCTAGGCGGAGGATTAGCCTAGTGAGCCGCGGCGCCAGCCAAAATCTCATGGTTTTGCAGAGACTTCAGTGCAAATGCTTTGAGCTGGGGTCAGTGTTGTGGTGTACCAGGTTAAGCAACCACCTGCAATGCTGGTATCCCATTTGGGTTCCAGTTCAAGTCCTGGCTACTCTACTTCAGATACAGATCCTTCCTAATGCAACACGCAGGACACCTGGATGGAGTTCCAGGCTCCTGGCTTCACCCAGGCCCAGATCTGACTGTTGGGGCCATTTAGGGAGTGAACCAATGGATGGACAGGATCTCTCTCTCTCTGTCTCTCTCTCTGGAACTTTGCCTTTCAAATAAAATCTTTAAAAAAAAAAGTTTTGAGCCATTTGTTTTAGATAATAAAATGACTGTTACCTTTACTTCAGAATAAGGATTTCTAGAATGGTAAAACTGCTGAGTCATGTTATAGTAACAAGTATCTGCTAGATTTGAGCCTCAGTAATTAGTCTTGCCTCAGTGAGGTTGCACAGATGAATCTCTAAAGTCTTTTCTATTTCTGTTATTTATTTTCACTTACTTTTATATTTGAAAGGCAGAGAGAGAAAGAGATCAAGCCCACTTACCACCCATAAGCTGGTTCACTCCCCAGAAATGACACCTGGGCTAGAAAAACGCAGTGCCAGGTCTCCCAGGCATGTGGTGTAAATCCTATTACTTGAGCCATCACCACTGTCTCCCATGGTCTGCATTAACAGGAGGCTGGACTCAGGAGCCAAAGCCAGGTATTGAACTCAGTTACTCTGATAATGGACACGGGTGCCTCAACTACTGGTCTAAATGACCATCCCTCTTCCATTCTTCCACGTCCAAAGCTCTACAATCCAAAAGCAGTTCAAGCAAAAATGAGTAAATAAATAAAAATGCCAGTTTATGAATTCTTACAAAGAATGGAAGAGGGAAATCACCCACAACACATTGTAAGGAGCCCTGAGAGCAAAATCAGATAAAAGCAGTATAAGAAAAGAAAACTCCAGCCAATTCTACACATGAATACAGAGGTAACAATTCTAAACAAATACAAGTAATCTGAATATAGCAACCCACTTAAAGAAAACAACCAACCAAACATCAGAACCTAGTTAGGTATATGAGTGCAAGGTCAGTCTAACACTAGAAAAATCATATTAAAAAACTGAA